TTGGGGCAAGTCCTTGGAGCCCTTCCTCTCTCCTTCATTTCCTGACTGAGGTGACCAGTTTTGCTTGATCAACTGCTCCCAACTTTGCCATCCACCACCCCCATGCCTAAGAGCAAAGGGTCTGCCTCATCATGGATGGGAAACTTAAATTTTGAGCTCAGATAATCTGTCCCTTTTTAAGTGGATTATCTCATTATTTGGCACACTGAGAGAATGCTGACTAACAAACCTCCCAACACCAACGTGCCCAGACTCACACCCAACACCTTTCTTGGTGACTTCACCTCTTCTTACTACTTTGAACTTAATCCACAAATGTACAGTTCTAGCCGGGACCTCTCCCCTGGACTCCAGGCTCATGTATAATACTTGCTGCGTGACACCCACACTTAGACTAAAAGAAAGTCCTAGTGTCACACATGACTGTGGGCTCCTTATATCCCCTTCCTGCTCCACCTACACCTCTGCCCATCACAGTTGGCAGTGACACTATGCATCCAGTTGTCAAAAGCCATGGTGCGTCCTTGCTCATGTCTTTCTCTTACACTCTGCATCTCACTCCTTAGCAAATTATGGTGGCTCTACCTTTGAAGTACAACCAAAACTTCATCTGTTGTTCTTTCTTCCACTGCCATCACCCTATCCCTGGAATACAGAGATGCTCCATCCCTCAGAGGGATCCCAGTGAAACATAAGTCAGATCACACCCCTCTGACTGGACACCCTGCCATGACACCCCTCTCCTAGGAGCAAGATCTGAAGGGCTCAGTACATCCTATAATCACAACAGCTCATCTCCCATTCCCTGTCTCTCCTCACCTCCTACTACTCTCCCTCTGCTGGTTCCTACACTCACAGGGGTCTCTATGGAAAATCAGGGTCATTCTATCCCTCCCCTGTCCACTCATCCCTAAAACCTAGAGGGTACAGCCTTTCCTCTTCCTGGTCTTTACTCAAGTATCACCCTCTCAGTGAATGCTTCCTTGATAGACCTGACCTGCAACTATACACCCAACCACAGCTTCCTGTCTGCTTCCTTTGTGTCTCTGCAGCACTTACCACTGCCTAATAACTACTAATGTCTTATTTAAGCTTCTGGTCTCCCCCAAAAGAAAATGTAAATTTCATGAGGCAGACATGTTCAGCAGGTCAATACCCAGCACATCATAGGCACTCAATTAACATCAGCTGAATAAATGAATAAACAAACTGATGAGCAGAAATAGCAAAGGGCCATCCTCAGACCAAGAGAAAAAGACAGAGGACAGTGACCACATCCTACCCTACAATACTGCTTAACTCATGAGTACTCCATAGTTTGATACTAGCAGCTACTAAAATTTTGTTTTTAGCTCCATGCAACAGGCACAGCTGAGGGAGCTCCCTAGTTCTCTGGCACAGCACACCATTCCGGATCAAATGCAGTAAACCAAAGACATGTCTGCTGTCACTTTCTGTCTCTGCCTTGTCGAGCTTGCCTGAACTAGACCTCAGCCACAACAGTCTCCTGCCCTTGGCTCCTCAG